CTTTCTTTCTTTCTTTCTTTCTTTCTTTCTTTCTTTCTTTCTTTCTTTCTTTCTTTCTTTCTTTCTTTCTTTCTTTCTTTCTTTCTTCCATTCCAACTAGCATGGACAAAGTTGTGTCCACATTTTCTTTAAAGCCAGAATTTTAAAAATCAATATAGATTCTAAATTAATGCAATGTATTCCTTCAGTTTAAATATTGTATGCTCAAAAAAAGAAAAAAAGCTGGAGACACAGATAAAAATTCAAAATCTGCTTATTAAATACACACTGACCAAGGGTATATTTTAATGGGCATTGCTATGGTGATTAATAATATTAATGTGCTATAGTTCAATTTCTGAAATTGAATTTGTGGTACTAGTAAATAAAGCAATATAAATAATTATTTGGCATGGGATTTTTTACATTTGGTGTTTCATAATTCATATATCTCAAAGCATATTACTAATCTCTGTGCTTTAATAAAGCCTTTGCAATCTTATATGCTTGGCTCTGTTTATGTGATGACCAAGCTGTCCATAAATTGCTAGGTTAAATGTGGCAATCCTATTCTGAATTTAATTGCAGCTTCAAAATCCCTAGTCCTTTTTGTCCTTGATACCAAAGACAATGATACAGCTATATGTGTAAATGTACTTTGTGATACTATATAGTATATACAGCATGCCTTACAACAATTAGATGTTCTAACTTTTTAGAACATATGAATACATTTGTTGTCACTTTGACAATCGGGCCTTTAGTGGCCTGCCTTAAAACATTTGTTCTCTTTTCCTGCCTGGTCCATACACAGCAGCCTCATCAAAATGTATTTACTTTTTATTCCTCATTTAATTAAAGGTCTAAAATCAATGTTTCCCAATTGTGACATTTCCAGATGTGTGAACTTGGAATCTCAGGATTCCACAATCACTTATTGATTAGATAGATGGTCACTGATTAGAATTCGGAGAGTTGAAATTTACACATCTGGAAATTGCCAGGTTATGGAAATATTTGTCTAAATCCATCTGACGGAAATGGAAACCGGTCATCTCTTTGACTATATAAGTATTGCAGTAGAGAGAATATATGCCTTATTCTTACATGTTGGTATATACTATTCAGCTGAGCAGTGTGGTGACCTAGTGGTGATGACACTCACCTCCCACTTGGAAGGTTGGGAGTTCAATCCTAGGTAGCATCAGGTATTTCTCTCCTAGGGCACAAGGAAAAAAAATCTACTGAGAACTCTGCGTGGCATCAGGAAGGGAATCCAGCCAGTAAAAGCTCAGCTCCATCCAGTCGCTCTGACTCTATCCCAAATGAAGAGATTACAGGGTCGTAAAAAGGGAGTTGGTATACTATTCAGTGGCACTACAATTATTTCTAGATGCTTGTACCCTATGGCTAGAGTGGCTTTCATTTTTCTAGGAATATTATTTTGAATTATAAATGGGTTAAGTTGAATTACTTAGTATGACAATGAGCTTCAGACAATATTGGACAGGCTCAGGTGATGTGGGGAAATATAAAATTCTTCAGTAAGCCAAACTGTTTTTTAAAATAATAATCATCATCACATCTTTGCAGTAATGCTTCCATTTTTATAAATGGGAACTTTATAAAATAATTAATTTGATTACAGATAGAAATGAATTTGGAATCCAGGTGCAAAGAGGACTTATAAAATGTGGGTAGAGCAGAATGTACTATTAGTCTTTCTGATGTCAATGGCAAGTCATTAAGAGAAGCCTGATCTACTTAGCATTAACTACATGTCATTTACTACTACTACTACTACTACTACTACTACTACTACTACTATTACTACCACTGCTACTACTATCACTGATTATATCACACCTGCATGTTTGCTTTTTAAATAACTTGCATTTGATTCAAGAGTAATAATGCATTGTGCTGGAATGATAGTTGGGGAAGATGGTGTTGAGATTCATAAAACACATTCTTATACAAGAGAAACTGGTTTACAATAGAATGTGTTTGAATTGCTGATGTGCCTGTTGTATTAATCTAGTTCCCAAAACTGCATCAAGGTGTCAGAAGCTCATTCATTATGATATTTAGAACTCCATAATATAAAGTGGATATTTTTAGCAGTAGTATATGCTGTATGAAATATATATTGTTACTACTCCTAATATAAAGAAGGATACAGAATGCCATAATAAAATTGTAAATAATGACTGGAATAAACATTGTTTGGGTCTAGCGTTTTACAAACAGAATGCCTTTAAATGAGTTTAAAATCTCAAAGGTCTGTCTCTCTAAATCTGCAATCTATATTTCAGTGGAAATCAATCTCAATTCACTGGAACTTATTTTAGAGTTGCATGCTCAAAAGATACTAAAATGACAAGTGATAGGAATAGTAACAGTATGATTGCATAATCTTGAAGTTATAATACTGTAAACAAAAGAGTTCTGATTTTAGGTACAGTTTTCATAATCTTAGAGAGCAGTGAGTCTCAAATCTTTGTCAATTGTATGTATAATTGTTGGCCATACAATATCCTTATGTAGCTTTCCCTTTTGATTTTGTCAGAATAAATATAATGACACCGACAGATACTGACAGAAGAGAATATTGTAGTTTCAACCATGAACTACATATTTGTCGGGTCCTTGGTGCTCTCTAAGCTTGGTTATCTTTTTGAGATGTTTCATTACCCACTTAGGTAACATCATCAGTGCTAGAACAGAATGAGAGGGTTGCTCTTTTTTATATATTAGTAGCTTATCCTGTCAGTGGATAAGCTGGGAGCATTCTTGGTGGTTCCTTTGTTCAGAGAACACCAAGGACTTCATAAATATAATGAGTGAATACTGATATGAGTATTTTGCAGGATAAGTACAACTTCTCACTCTGTGAAATGTTGTCACTAAGAACGTTTCTTGTTATAAGTTCTTCCTGGATATTTTGACAATCCTACATAGCTAGAATTATTGAAAAAGAGTTTGGTGATTATCCTTTCTCTCAGCATGATTACTTTATTATGGATTTATCTCCAGTTCTGGTACTTCAGACAGAAATAGAATGATAGCACCAGACAGCATCTCAATCTCAATTTCTAATCAATGCCTTCTCCACATTTCTTAATTATGACTGTTATCGTTTCAAATGTTTCTTGCTCTTCAAATGCAACAGATGATGATGATGATGATGTCAATGTGCTTTAAGTGTCGTTGCTTAACAAATTGTCTTTCCTTTATCTCATATATGATGGGATCCTCGCTAGACAGAGGTAACAGATAGGGAACAGTTGTATAACTGGACCCTGGTGTGTTGTTGATGATGTCTTTTGTTCCCTAATACTGCTCTTAAATTTGTGCTTGTGATTTAATGTGCTCCCGTGCTTGCATGCTTCATATACATTAACCACAACTCACTTGATCCTTTTTAATATTTCTACTTCTCTTTGTGTGCGTGCGTGCGTGTGTGTGTATGGTGCTTGTCTTCTAATACTTCTGAAAAAAATTAACAATTTTAAGATGATAGAACTCAACTTCTCTAACCCAAATTGTTGCATCTTTTTTTTTTTTTTTTTGGCCTTTAAAACTTCAGAAGGCAAAAATGACTTAATAGCTTTCAGTTTACTAATTAAATCTATGGATAGAATGAGAAAAAAAAAGACATTGTTGGAGTCTGTCTGCATTACAATTACCAATTGATGATAAACTGGCCTCTTAATCATGACACTGAGATTAGATTTGGTCTTTTATCTTTATTTTCATTAGCGTATATTTCCTAGTCCTGCTGTTAAAAAGAGTTTTGTATTATGTATGCCTCGCCAAAAATCATAGCTAAGACAAATCTTTTAAATCACGTCTGCAAACCTTCAAAGCTAGTTCAGTTTTGCAGTTTTAGAAAATATGTGGCACTATTAATTCTGGTTTCCTGAAATGTTCATATAATGCAACACTGCTATTAAATTCAAGTGCTACTTTCTATTTCCTAATTAAATTAAGAGATGGGCAGTATTTTATCTATGCATAAAAGTATAGAGTCTCCAAAACCACCATAGTAAATTCTTTCCAGTTCCTATGTATTAAAACTGGTAAGATAGAAGCTTTGAAATACCTACTACTAAGTTAGAGGAAACAAGACATATCTTGATTTGCCTTGGATTGAAAATGTTAACAGCACGATCCTAGCCTGCTCACAAAGAAATAATTCCTGTATTGAAAGGGATTTAGACTCAAATAAGGACTGAAATTTATGTAAAATATAGATAGAAGAGAACTTAATTTTAATATTTTAACCCCCAAAAGCCCATCTGACAGATTTAAAGGCTGGAAAGGTATCTGAATGGTAATAGAAGGGGTTTAGAAAATCAATAATAATAATAATAATAATAATAATAATAATAATAATAATAATAATGTACTAAAGCTGTGGTCTGTTATTAATTAAGTATATTTTTCCTCTCTTGGGATTGTGGTATTCGTAATCTTTTAAAATAGAGAATTTCCCAGGAACGTGAGAAGTTTGCAGATGAAGACAGCATCTTTTATGCCCTTGGAGAATGTGGCTTGATTTCCTTTTCTGATTATATCTTCCTCACAACGGTCCTGTCAAGTAAGTACATGTTTTTGTTCCATACTATTTCCATTTCAGGTTTTTTTTTTCTAAATAACAAAGAATAACCAAGTTCAAAGAGCTCTGTTATTACAACTAAAAACATCATTGGCATTGATGAAATTATCGTCAGTCAATTGCAAAAGGCAGCTTTACTTGGAACAGCTTACATTCTGTGAGGATCCCTCTATGATTAAACAATATCTGCCTACCCCAAGTCCTTGGGAAAGACTTGATAGGTGGTTCAAAATGCAGTCTCTAGACATCTGGTTGATTGTGCAATGCGCCATAACAACAATGTTTTTGTGATTTGATTGTACTCACAGTTGTTGTCAATGTGCATTCAATTCTCCATTTTTAGAGGATTTCTTTGGGTCCCATTTGTGCTTGATGTATATCAGAAATGAACAAGCTCTTTTTCTTCTTTCTCTTGGAAACATTCCTGTTTTATCAGTTTTGGATTTGGCTTCAGTCCTCCGTCATTTATCTTGCTGTAGAAAGAGCAGCACTAATTCTGTCTGGTTGAGAGTGTTCTCCCTTGTTTTCCTATCCTGTTCTAAGTCACTTGGCTTGGAAAACTGCACATATTCTGCATTTGGCCCCTGTGAGAGAGGAAAAGAATGATATGTGCATCATTAAATTCTCTATCTGAAAAGATTTGAAGTCTCACAAAACTTGTATGGGAATTAAAATTCAGAGCACATCAGCTCCATATTGCTAAATATTATATTTACCAAGCCTATATGACTCCTGCTCTTCTTGCTTACCTTTTAACTCTGTGTTAGCCTCTTCAATAATCAGAAGACACATCATGAAACTCTTTTAGGTGTTTAAGAAGCAGCCTCAGCACCTGAACAAAATTCAAGTCAGGCCATGCTCCACATAATTTCATACCTACACTGACTACTGGGGAATCACAGAGGCACGGTGGCTCAGTGGGTTAATGATGCTGGAAATGGTCTCAGCTCTGGTGGTTTGAGCCCTGACTCTGCATGGCAGGGCAAGCTCCTGTCACTCGCTTCAGCTTCTGTCCACCTAACAGTTCGAAAACATGTTATGCAAGTAGATAGATAGGTACCACTTTGGTGGGGGGACAAGCTGGTGCTCTGTGCAGGCAGGCAGATTCCTGACAGCGCTGAACTTTCCAGTTGTGGTACCCACTTGCAAGGCAGTTCCAGGAAGGGAGAAGGCCTTGGGTGACACTGGAGGAACAGCTGCTTGTCTTTTTCTCTGGTACGAAACCAGCTTGCCCTTCTGTGGTGCACTTTTGGAAATGCACAAGTGTTTCCTATAACAGGGCTGGTACCTTGGCAAGCTGAAATGCTACTCTGCAATAGCATTGTGGTCTCCTGGCTACTTTAACAACATCATGCACTAACAACAACAACAACAGCAACAACTGGGGATCACCATAGTTTTAGACAGAATCCTGCCGAATTGAGCATTTTTGTTCTGTCATTGAATTGTGGCCTTTCCTGCCGATGCACTACATAAGAGCTAACTTTCCATGTTTGAGTGGGGAGATGAGACTTAACTGTATTTCCCTGAAAATAAGACTGGGTCTTATATTAATTTTTGCTCCAAAAGATGAATTAGGGCTTTGTTTTCCAGTTAGGGCTTATTTTCGTGAAAATATACGGTAAAATGCGTCTGTCTGGCTGACAATCTTAACTGGAGCTTATTTTGGGGGTAAGGCTTATATTATGAGCATCCTGAAAAATCATGCTAGGGTTTATTTTCCTGTTAGGTCTTATTTTCAGGGAAAGACAGTAGTTGAAGTTTTTTGTCCCTCCCTTGTTTGATCAGTTGCTGATCAAGCAAGCAGAATTTTGTGATGCCCAAAGGTATTGACATAGTGAGTCCAGAAGACAACAAGGGCATTGCTGGTCAGCTATATTTATCATGGAAAACAATTGTGTATGTAGCTGAGAGAACTGACCGTCTTTTACAGAACCACACTCCTGCACAAAGAGAATAATAATCTGTCTGCAAATGTTTTTGTTTTGAAAATAACCAGTTTGGTCAGGTGAATAGTCCATTGGCAAGAAGAAACAATACTATAAAAGTGAAATGTTTTTCCCCTTTTTTGTGCTGTGCACAAGTATTATTAGGTCTCATTTTCAGAATAGCACAACTGAAAGAAGCTGAGGCATCAGAACAGCCATTCCCATGTCAACATTCCTTGTGACTAGAAGAATAAAGAGAGGAAAATGGTTGCTCCTCCAGTAAAATCCTTGCTGTGGAATTAAGAGTTTAAAGATGTGACATGCAGCATGCCAAGTTCTTTTGTATCTTTACGAGAATGAGTTGATCTTCAAGGAAAAACAAAGGATGTCTGTAAAAGCACATTTGGGAGGTCTATACTTGTAACTGATTTGAAGTAAGAAAAATTAAATGTCCCAACATAGATGTTCAATATAATCTTTGCCTCTCCTTCGTACTGTGGAATATCATCTTGTCTCTTTTCATTGTGTACCTCCAGCCCATGATATATATTTTTTGAACATTGCAATAGGCTTTCTATAAATGAATATCCAATATATCTTTTAAAAAAATACAATGCTGCATAATGAATTCAGGAGCCTTGAGCCTTTTGATGGTTTTGCTGCTCTTTGCACGTCTGTGATTATAAAATTTTGGGACTAGCTGAGCTTCTCATATCAAAGAATCTTCATAAACAGCTATCCGGTTAGACTGAACATGTCACCTAATACAAAAAGTTTCTGCAGCTGAGATATTGATCCCACTCAGAATGAAACCTTCTTTGAGTTATGTAGGTTGTGGACATCCTAATGCATGCCATTTAAATAAAGAACTGTCATGGCAATGGAGTATGTGGAAAGTGGAAGAAAGAAACAATGGAAGGATTCATCGTTTTGTACTTTAGCAAATGGTTAAGTGTGTTTCTAATTCGTATTTATTAAAATGTGTTGAGTGCAATTTGTCCTCAGTTATCTTCTATATTGGTAAGAGTCCGTGGGCAATGATTTGCAGACAAGGATGTACATGACAGTATTCACAGTATGGGCTTTTTGCAGTGTGATAATGCAAATTTTTCATGATTGTACCCTTGGGCAACTAAGCACTACGTTTAATTGACGTTATTTGATTAAAGTTACTTGCATTTACAGGGAGTAATCAATTCAGTTCGCTTTCCTGATAAGGCCATATGCCAGTTATCAGAAAAGTGTCATTACTAGAAACATTCTCACATGCTTCGAGTTAGACAGTGATAAAAGATTATGGCCTACTGTGTGCAGCAGAAGAATATAGTCTGCATTGTCCAGGCTTGCAATAACAATTACTGGATTGCAAAGGGGTACTTGGAATCCAGGCCAGCTTTCTTATTTTTGTTTAAATCCCAATACAATTACTTTCAAGATTCCTAGTAATACATCCATAGCAAATAGAGCTCCAAGGCAAGCAGGGTCCTCAAAGAACAAGTTTATTGGATATAACATATTGGAACAAACTGGTGAAAACCGACTCTAATGGTTCCTGCGGTTTTCACCTAATTAAAAGTAAAAAAATTTTCCAAGATGCTCGACTGCTTCCGGTTGCGGCGCTGTGGTGGTGTGGGGAGAGAAGAGCGGGCTCCGTTCTCTCATCCCCAATCTGTGCGTCTGGAGGCCCCCCCGAGGGGCACGCAAATCTTGGAGGGATCGGCGAAAGTGTGAGGAAGCCCAGTGTGAGGTATAATCAGTCCAATTGCTTGGAAACTTCATTCCTCCTCTCTTCAGCCACCTGTGGGAATGTCCTTGGTTCTCAGGAGAAGCTATTTTGCTTTGGCTACAGAACAGCAACTATCTCTACTCCCCCCTCCCTATCCCTCAGCACCATTGTGGCAACACTGAAGCCTCCAAGATGGCCTCGGTCAGGTAAACTTCAGAGTTGACAATTACTTTTTCTTTGGAACATGAAGATTATTGTATTCTCCATCCTTGTCATTTCCTTTTGAAGATAGCTCCTATCTATTTTCTTGATGTTTTCTTGTTCCTCCTTTGCTCTGTTGGTGTTAAATTATCCACCTATTTCAAGTGTAGATATTTGGCTGTGGGGAGAGATACAAATTGCTTTTGGTGTACTCACCTGCTTATCTTAACTATGGACTTGGCATGAAATCAGAATCTGCACATTGTTTTTAATTCCTTGACTCTTATTCTTTGGTCCTGAGCTGTAGTAGCCTATTTGTTTTCTTCCTCCAATAAAATAATCTGTTGCTGCTTTTAGTGAATTTAACTATGAAGGACAAGAACAGAATAAATTTACCTTTATTGGAACATTGAATACTAATGAACTATTTGTATGCAGTCATAATTGCAGCTATTAATTTGGTTATATAAACAAATACAGCTGAGGGAATCCACACTTTAAGGCTGCAGGTTAAATTGAGGATAAGAAAAATTAACTTGATACAGACGTGCAGGAGCAATTGCCTAGGCAAAAGGGGCGGAAGTGCAAAATAGCTATCCTAGATAACATTTGGAAGCAGCTCAGGCAAATACCTCCGTAAGAAGGAAGAACGGGTACAGCATAATCAGACTTGCAAGATTCTGTTATAATAGTCAATCTCAATAAAAAGTAATCTTGGCCTTCTTTTGGAGTTGATTTCCTGGTCTGATCTATCTATGTAGTGGAGCTAACAGATGAATATTTACTTGGGTGTGAGAACGTAGTGGTTTTTTTTTTTCTGAGTACATTGCCCTGTGAGGGATTTCTATTCTATTTGTCTAATGGAATCTTCTATGTAAACAGAACATTTGTGGCCATAAGTAGTAAAACACTTCCTCTGTGAGCAACATGGAAAATGGAACCTCACTGAAACTCAGTTAGTTGAGATCTGTACTTGTCTATGGAAATTCTCAGTTATCCAGGTTATGGTTTTATTTATTTATTTATAATTTGTCAAACAAAAATGAAAACACGAATAATATAAAAAAAATACAATGACAGGGACGATAGGCACGTTAGTGCACTTATGCACACCCCCTTTACGGACC